ACCTGGCCTCACCTTGCCCCCTCCCAGCTCAGCCCACCCTCACCTGGCCCCGCCCAGCCCAGTCCAACCTCACCTGGCCCCGCCCAGCCCCGCCCAGTCCCATTAAACCGCCTTCTGATTGGGCAGCTCCTCCTGCAGCTTCCCCAGAAGTGCGTCCCCTTTCCCCGTACTGGGCTGTGAATCATCTGCCGCATTTGAGCTCTGAGTTCCTTCTCCTGTGAGCCCTCCTCTGCCTCCTCTCTCTTCTCTCCTGTTTCTGCCCAGTGGCCCCGAGGACATCTCCACGGGCTTTTAACTGAGTGCCTCTCATCAGGGGGCGGAAACAACCCAGGCGAGAAAGGACACCAGGCTTGGACGGCAGTTGGAACACAGTAGATTCTCAAAAATGATTCGTGGAACAAACTGTGATCTTAGGATTGTGCTGAAATCATAGACCTAATCCTTCATCACTACCCAGATATTTGACCTCCTTAAATGTGGTCTTCCTTGACCTCTTAACTTTCAGAGAAGGAATAATTTTAATGGAAAAGAAAGACCAACTCATTACCCCAAATTAGTTTTGTATTTCTGCTGAGGACAACTCTTTTCAGCGCCGTAACTGTGCATAAGCTCAGGATACAAACACTGCTGTAACATCCAACACAAAGTAATTACTTGATAGGAAAACGCCATCTTCCCGACTGCCTAAGATACAACAAAGGTTTCAAAGTATTCAGGTGGCTTACAGCTGGCCTAATAGGATTCCCTACAGCTCTGGACAGAAAGGCACAGTGATGAAGCACGCAGATATTTACAACAAAGTAGTGTCTCCTAAGTAGGCGGTGTGACCTCTGCATAAACAGCCTCCCAGTTTCTGACAAATGAGAAAACACTTCTACAAGGAAAGGGACATATTTTCCACTGAAATGTTGCCCATAAAAAGAAAACATTATTTGTGGCATCTGTAGAAGTACTCCGGATTGCTCTCTTTTGACCCATTAATCTAAGAACAAATATGAAAGTTTAAAATACTTTTTTCTGAAAAACATATTGATCTATAAAGTGCTTTACTTGGAATAATTACTAATGCAAGTTTAAAAGTTATGGTTTGCTTTCTACTAGAGTTTTGCTCAGGTCTAGAGGTCTCTGTTTAAAAAAAAAAAAAAGGACTGGCTTTAAATTGTCCCTGTTGTCTGAAGATTCAAATGCTTGTTCCTAAAACTATTGCTTTGTGCCTGTCTTCAAATTCTCGGCTATATTTTAAAGTGCTGTTAGAACCACGTGAAATCTGTCGTTATCAGACTCTAAGAAGTGAAAATTAGTGCTTAATCCTGATTCCAGAGGCAGTTCCTAAACGGGATACTGTTTCTCTCTCCATGTTACTCACAAAATTCATTGTGCATCCGAATGACCCAGGGGGCTTGTTGGAACAGATGCGTATTCCTAAACACCACCCCAAAGGGGCTTCCTGTTGTTAATAAGAGCCCCCTGGACTGAAATCCAAAGATCTGTTGAGAAAAAGATTAAAAAACAAAAACAAACAAACAAAAAAGATCCAACACTCTAAAAACAAAGAAGAAATCCTACAAGATTACAGACAGAAAACCTTATCTATGGAGGAAGGCGAACAAGGCGAACCAGACTCTATGCCTAGTAGCTGCAAGGGGGGGGGCGCTACCCACCATCTACTGATAACTGAAAAGGACAGCATCCAGAGACGCCGATTTCAAACCAAGGTATCTTTCACAGAGCAGGGCAGAAAGAACGGTATTTGCGGATCCGCAGGACTCCCAAGTGAACCAGGGTGGACCACATGAAAGATTGAGGTCACTAAGGAGGACAGGGAATGTGTGTCAGGCAAAACCTTGTGCATTATCTCCTAAAATAGAAGATTCACATACTCTGTGCAAGTGATCAGAAATTACATTTCTCGGACTACCCATGAGAAGCTCTTCTATATGTATAACTGGAGACATTTATTAGAATATCCTAGAATGTTCATGCAGCATTGTTCACAGTCACAAAAACAAAACTGGAAGGAGCTCCTAATGTCCATCATAAAGAGAGAAGATTCATAAATTGTGGTATGTTCCTACAGTGGAATAGTGTCCAATATTCAAAACAAGCAATATGCAGAAATATGCAACAATACAGAAGAATCAGTGATGCACTCTGAAGTGAACAAGCTCATTCTCAGGTGCATGGTATTCTTTTGCACACTTCACAACAGATAAAGAATTGGAATGTGTTTAGAACCAAGGCAGAGGGATGGGATAATGGGGTATGGAATATAAGTACAGTCCAAGCCTTTGCAGGCTTCAGAGAGATGCTCATTACATAATTAAATCCAAGTAAGCAAACAGAGGAAATCTGGCTCTGTGTGGCCAGTTCAACATATTAAAAGCTCTGAGAACTTTACAGAAAAGGAACCTATTTAACTTTGTCTTGCAGCTCAATCAATCCCAACAGGAAGATGGAATCTCTTTAGCGACACTCAGGATGGATACCCAAAGGAACAGTGTTCCATGAAACAACCATTTAAGAGATGCCATTGTAAACTAAACCCGATTAGATCACTGCCCACATTTCACAGCCTCTTAACACCCCCCTTCATTGTGCTTGCAGGATAAGGTCTCTGCTTGGAATGCCTTCCGGCACCTGCCAGAAAACATACAGACTTTTGCTGGATTACCTTGTTACTCTTCACATCGACTCACACTCCTTCCTCTATCTGGAGAAACATTGTCTCCTACCTGCCTGGAGAGCATCAAGCTATCATTGAGGAGACTCGGTTCAGATGCAGTAGCCTTTCAAGGGCTTTCCTGGACACCCCCAGATGGAGCACCCCACCCCGTCCACTTTGGCACAACCCCACACTGTGTATCTATGCCTATCATAGCACTTACAAGACTTCCTTGGCCATCTGTTTGTAGGGTTATCTCTCAGCTCGACTGTGAGCTTTCTGAGGGTAGCACTGTGTCTTTGTGTATGTTCCTGGAATGACAATTAGATCCAGAAACCCTGACCGTACTTCCACCTTGCTCCCACGAGCTGGTGTCAACTGAGAAATTAATTCACCTAGCATGCATGAGCGCGGTGTCTTCAGGATGAGGACATGGTCAGCAGTGATTCTTTTCTATTTGTTTATTTCAATCTCATTGCACTAAGAGACAGGACAAGGTTCCTTAACCATCAGTGATTCACGAAGCACAGAAGTCAGTTGGGTCAGGCTGAGAGGCCGTTCATCAGCAGGCTGTGGGAGGA